CCCCCGCAGCCGTGTTTGCTCAGGGAATTGGCCTCGGGCTGCAAACAGTGCTGACGTCCGTTCTGTGGCTCATTGACATCCCAGGGGACGGCAGTGCGGGAATGGCTCCCCTCGGTCACCAGAGAGGTTGGGTTGGGAGGGGGGACACCCTGCAGACAGACTACGGGTGGGGAGGGAGACCCCCGCAGACGGGTTGTGCCACCCTGCCTGCGTCAGTGGGTGTTTGCCCACCACCCACGGGTCTTTTGGGGGGGGGATAAAGGCAGCTGAGCCCCGCAGCGGGGGTGATGGACGCTGCGGTGGGAAGATGGGCGCTGCGTGGCTCTGCCTGCTCTGCGCAGCCAGCGCCGGCCTCGTCCCGCTGGGCATTGGGGGGGAACGACGGCTGTGGGCAGCCCCACGTCGAGAGGAGCCGGAGCTGGTAGGGGGCTGAGGGCTGGGGGGGGGGCCGTGCTGCGTGCACCCCTCGCTGGGGGGGGCTGGGAAGTTCCCAAGGTTTTAAGGAGGGGGTCCCTGGTTGCTTTTTCGCGTTGGAGTCTGGGCGCTTTTTGGGGCTTATCTCAGCACTTGGGTTAGAAAAGGGATATCCAGCGAGATGCGGGAATTGGCAGCTTTCACCTGTTTGTTCTCTCTCTGCTCACGGAGCTCCTGCCCCGCGGGGTCGATGCCAGAGGTGCCGGCGTCGAGGCGCTGCAGGAGGTGCTGGAGAAGCTGCGGAGCCGGGAGCTGCCGCCGACGGCCAAGAAGCCGGGCAGGGTGCCCTCGGTAGGGCTGGGCACTGGGGGGGGCACCGGGCGCTAGGGGGGCACCCAGGCCCCACGGTGACGGCTCCTGTGTCACAGTGCCAGCTCGGGGAGCCCTGTGCTGTGCGGGTGGGGGCTCGTTTTGGGAAGCGCTGCAGCTGCCCCCCCAGCACCGCCTGCAACCTCTACATCCTGCGGTGCTCCTAAGGGCTGGGGCCAACACGGATGCTGCCGGGATGCTGCTGGCTCAGGCTGTGCCATGTGGTGTGGAAGGGGGGGCCACGGACCCCGGCCCCCTCCCCACACGGAGATGCACTCCTCTCCCCTGATCTGAGTGCCTTCACAAACCCTTGGGGGCCGTATTAAACCACTTTGGACCACTTTGGCTGCCTCCTGCTCTGCTCTGTGGGGGTTTCTGTGATGCCACCCCGGCTGTGAGCGAGTTGTGGGGTGGAAGCGGCGGGGGTGGTGATGGGGCCGTGCTCCATCCTCCAACAAATAGCCCGTATTGCTCACGCTTTCACTGCACGGCACTGCACAGCTCAGCCTGCCCAGGGGCTGTAGCGCATCGCACAGCCCTGCACGGTGATGTACGGCACATCCCCGCACAGCTCTGCACCCAGTAGCCGTACCCAGCGCTACGGCACGCTGCACTGCACTGCACTGCACTCCCCAGCCGTACCCAGCGCTACACCTCCGCACTGCATCGCGTCCACGCTGCACAGCACTGCAGCGTAACGCCGGGCCCCACCCGGCGGCCCCACCCCGCCATCGCCCCTTTAAGGCCGCGCCTCCTCCTCCCTTTCTCCCCGCGCCTCGCTCTCCCATTGGCCGCCGGTGACATCAGTGGGCGGGGCTTGGCGGCGCTGACGCAGAGGGGGGCGTGGCCTGGGGGCGGCGCGGCTGCGGGGGGCGCCGAAGATGGCGGCGGCGGCGGCGGCGGCGGTGGCTCCTCCCGGTCCCGCCGCGGGGCCGCGCCGCTTCTCGCTGCTGGCGATCGTGGGCGGCGGCTGCCACCGGCCCGGGCTGCTGGCGGCCGCGCTGCAGCAGCTGGAGCGAGGTGAGCCCCGGCCTCGTGGCCTCGTGTTGCGGCCCCCCCACGGCTCCGGCCCCGACGTTGGATCGGCGGCGCTCCGCCCGCCCCGGGTCCGAGGAGGGGGGAGGAGGGAGGGGATCCTCGGGGCGGGGTCCTGGCGGGCCGCGCCGCGGGCTGCGGTGGTCCTTGGGGGGGTGCCGCCTCCCCGGCATCAATTCCTGCCCGTCGATCGCCGGATCTGCCCCGCCATCTGTTCCGCCCCCGAATCCCAGCCCTCCTCCCGCCGTCCGCCCGTCCTCCCCGTGGGCGCTCGGGATCTGCCCCAAATCCCCGAGATTTGCCCCCGTTTTCGTCCCCGCCATCCGCCCCGTCTGCGTCCCCGGGGACCGCTTTGTGCAGGGACAGATGTCTGCGTTTGGGGGGGGGGGGTTCTCAGCTCCTCCATCACCCCCCACCCCCCCGAGCCGTGGCACCGCAGTGCCCCACGCTGGGGACACCCACGTGTCACCGCGGGGGGACCGAAGCCGCAGTGATGGGGAACCACTGGAGAGCGGCTCCGGCAGCCCTTTGTGCAACCCCACACCGCGGCTCCTTGCGCCATCAGCAGCCGTTAGCGGGCTGTGATGGTGGTGGCAACCCCTCCCCCCCCTCCTCCATGAGCCCCCTGAGAGATGGAGCCCATCTGCACAGCCAATAGTTGGGGCTGCGCTGGGCTGGGGGCTTCCATCCCCTTCCACGGCAGCTGGCGGCGTTCACTCCAGCACCGCTAATTCCATTAATTAGCACCGCCTTTGAGGAGGCGCTGGGAAGGTGCCGCCGTAGCCTCAGGGTTTGGGTTTGGGTTGGCAGAGGTGTTGTGGCTGTGAATCACAGCATCATCACAGCACACGGCGCACGCCGGCGGTGCCACCCGGGTCCCCACGCCGTCCCCATCCCCACACCGTCCCCATCCCTGTGGGGCAGCATGGCAGTGCTGATGCAAACCGTGGTTGGGTGGCAGCACGGCTGTGTGTGAGCCATGGAGGGGTGAGGAGTGGGGACAGAGGGGCTGTGTCACCTGCGTGGGGGACAGCAGGCATTGCCCACCCTGCAGGCATCCGCTCCTGGGACATCGACCTCACCTCCTGCAACCTGGATGAGCAGCTGAAGCTCTTCGTCTCTCGCCACTCCGCCACCTTTTCCAGCATTGTCAAAGGTACTGAGGTGGCACTCGGAGTTGGGGACAGCACTGTGGTGGGGCTGAGCGCCAGCGCACGTCGGCGTGGTCCTCACCTGACCCCATGGCAGTGATTAATTCATGTGTCTCCTGAGGGGGTGGGATGGGATGGGATGAGATGAGATGGGATGAGACGCTCTTTGCTGCGCAAACATTTCGCTGCTTCTGGAAAAAGGGATTTGGGGAGGAGGTGGTGACAGCCATCGCAGTCATGGGGATGGGGGCCAGTGCGGGGGGGGGGAAAGGGGTGTTGAAATTTTGTACCCCCATCCTAGACACCCCTGGCTGCTGCTTGTGGTTGAGCCCCGTGATTCCCACGTGGAAAGCTGCTTCCTACACCAACAGCCACATTCCTCCCCCCAGGGTGGGGATGTGTGGTCACTGTGGTGCCGACGTGTCTCACCCTATGCGTGCTTGCAGCTTGCCACCCACTGGTGGGGATGGGGCACCCCATGTCCCCTTTGTGTTTGGCTCCTGGGGGCAGTGGGTTTCTGCTTGAAGCCCGCAGCCTATGAGGAACCTCTGGGGGACAGCAGGGCAGCCTGGCTGCTCCCTTTCCTCCCCTCCCTGCAGCAGGAAGGAGATGGGAAGTGCAGCGGATCCCCCGCTGTCCTGGCCGGCAGCTGTCCCTCTTCCGCAGGGGAAGTGAACAGGTTCTGTCCCCATCCTGGGCATGTTTGTGTCACCCCCTGATCCGCACACAGCTCTGGGGGGGGGGGAGGTCCTCGGGATCCTGCCACATTTGGGGATGGACGGGTGGCAGCTGCTGTCCCCGCAGGTCAACGGACCCTGCATCACCGCGGCGATGTGCTGGAGACCCTGGTGCTGCTCAACCCCTCAGACAAGTCCCTGTGTGACGAGGTGAGCGGGGAGGGGGGCACGTGGGATGCAAACGGTGTGTGTGTGTTTGGGGGGGGGGGAGGAGAGGCAGCATCCTCACGTGTCCTCACGCCCCCTCTCGGCCCCTGCAGCTGCGCAACCTCATCACGGATGTGTCGCAGCACAAGCTGCTGGTGTTTGCGGGGCCCTGCGTGGAGGAGACGGGCGAGCTGATGCTGCAGACTGGCTGCTTTTCACTGCGGGACTTCATCCAGATCTTCACTGACAAGGAGGTGAGGGGCCGGGCTGTGGGGAAGCACTGTCTGCTCACGTCTGCAGCGTCTCAGCCAAGCGAGCGGAGCCGTCTGTGCTGTGGGCGCATCCCTCCCTCTGCTGCATGAGGCTGGTGGGGGGGGTGGCTGCATTCTGATCCCCCGGTACAGGAAACTGGGGGCTGCAGTGGTAGCTGGGAGTGAGGCAGGGCTATGAGAGGGCCCAGAGATTGCAGGCAAGGGGTGTATGGTGTGTGCCTGGGAGAGAGCTGCCCCATACAGAGGGACCGTGGGTGCCATGTGGTGTGAATGGAGCCCTGCCTGAAGCTCTCCCCTCACAGGTCGGGGAGATCCTGAGCTCTGCGGACCCCTCAGCCAAGGCCAGGCTGACCATCAGCTGCCCCGACTTCGGGGAGTGGAAGGACTCGGGCTTGGACCATCACAACCTGCAGGACTTCATCGAGCTGCGCTACAACCCTGGCTGCATCCTGCCTGAGATGGAGGGGCTGGAGGAGTTCATGGAGTACCTCTCGGAGTCGTTGGAGCCTCAGTCCCCCTTCGACCTCCTGGAGCCCCCCACCATGGTGGGTTTCCTCAAGCTCTCCAAGCCCTGCTGCTACATCTTCCCAGGTGGGAGAGGGGACTCTGCTTTCTTCGCCGTTAACGGCTTCAACGTGCTGGTGAACGGCGGCTCCAACCCCAAATCATCCTTCTGGAAGCTGGTGCGGCACCTGGACCGCATCGACTCCATCCTGGTGACGCACGCGGGCACCGACAGCCTGCCTGGCATCAACAGCCTGCTGCAGAGGAAACTGGCCGAGCTGGAGGAGGAACCAGCCTCTCAGGGCTCGCAGGGCAACGGCGACTGGGCCCGCAACCTCATCTCCCCAGAGCTTGGTGTCGTCTTCCTCAACGCCTCCGAGAAGCTGAAGGCCATCGAGGGCAACTCGCGGGTGCTGAAGAGCTGTGATGAGGCGGCACTGACGCTGCACTATTTGGAGAAGTTGGGCATCCGCCCCAACCCGCTGGCAAGGGATAGCAGCCCCCGCGTGGAGCCCACCATCCTCTTCCAGAAGATGGGAGTGGGACGGTTGGACATGTATGTGCTGAACCCAGTGAGGGGCACCAAGGAGCTGGAGTTCCTCCTGCAGCATTGGTCAGGGAATGGGTACCCTGAGGAGCAGGAGCTGCCCCTGCAGTGCCTGACCTCGGTGTGCGCCCTGCTGGTCTGGCACCCCGTCAGCCCTGCTGAAAAGATCATCCGTGTCCTCTTCCCTGGCTGCACGCCCCAGGCGCGCATCCTGGAGGGGCTGGAGAAGGTGAAGCACCTGGAGTTCCTCAAGCAGCCCGTGGTCACCAAGAACGACTTGAAGGGCTCTCAACCTGACAAGCAGCTGAAGCAGAGGAGGACGGAGAGCAAGGAGAGTTTGGCGTCTGCCTCCAAGCTCAGCCTGGTGGATGCTGGGGTACCCAAGGAGAAGGCTCTGAAAACGGTGGAGAGGAAGGAAGTGAAGGTGGGGACCAAGGAGAAGCCAAAGGCACTGGGAGAGGTGGCCAGAGCAGGGTCAGAGGAGGAGAAGGCCAAACTTGCCAAGCCGGACTCCTCTGCGGAGAAGCTGAAGGCAGAAGCGAAGCCAAAGGTGAGCAAGGAGAAAACGATGCCCAAGAAGGAGCCTGTGCCCCGCAAGGAGGAGAAGAAACCACTGAAGAAGGAGGAGAGCACCGAGGGAAAGCTGGAACCAAAGAAGGAGGTGAAGGCTGTGAAGAAGGACGTGAAGGCAGAGACGCTGCGGAAGGACACGAAGGACAGCAAGGCTGAGCCCAAGGCTGCTGCAAAGCCCCCAGCACGGAAGACGCCGGTGCCTGACACCCGCAAACCGCTGGCCAAGGCTGGCAGCATCAAGAGAACCACTCTGAAGAAGGAGCCAGAGAAAACCAAGGCCAAAGGCGGCAAGGAGCTGGGCAGCAAGAGGGAGCCGGGGCCAACGGAAGGCTCCAAGCCTTCCTCCCCTGAAGACATGGTGCTGGATGCTGAGGGGAGGAGGAGGAAGGAGGAGTCGCCGGATGAAGGCATCACCACGGCTGAGAGCGAGCTGGAGCCATCGCCGCTGGAGAATGGAGGGGCTGGGAGGGGGTCGGAGCCGAGCTGCGTGGAGAATGGCATGGAGGAGCCTGAGAGCCCCCAGCGCTTCCGCCACCCTGAGGGCAGCCCCTGGAGGGCCGTCGGCCCCCCGTCACCATTGGCAAAGACCCCCAG